AGTAGGGTGAATACGAGCCGGCCGTAGGAGCTGCGCGCGGCTTCTATTAATAGCAGAGTAAGCGTTTTTCTTTGTTTTAATGATTTTAAATCACGCAATTGACAAATACAAATTTTATTTATGTATATTTTAAATAATTTCCTTTAATAATTTAACTATATATTTATATATTATCTAGATTAAGCATACAAGTATCGACATAGAATATGGAATATACATATATGGCATAAAGTGAAAGCAAATAAAACTCAATTAAACCAGTTAAACTATTGGCTAAGACATGACCGCCGAATGAGAGAGCTTACACAGATGAATATATTACCTGGGACGTGGTGAGAACCTTGTCTTCTTTTAATGTAGACCTTGTATTTTATTCTGGGCCAAATTCTATCATCGGGCGGGAATTATTAGTATCTTGTGACATTGGGCTATTGCGTGGCTAAAGCGTCAGCTGTTATGGTCACTAAAATCAGCCTGGTTCAAGCGTGACTTCTCATCAGTGAATGAATGAGTGAGTCAGTCAGGACAAGCAATTTTATATATTTAGATTATCATCGTATTACATTATTAATATTAACTATATTTTACTAAACGATAAGTGCTCATTGTTAATGAAAAAGTATTAAAAATTTATGATAATAATTCAATTTTGTGCGCCATCAACCCTTGGGGGCCCGGGGCTTAAGACCTTTTAGTCCCTATGTAGATCCGCCCTGGTTAAACACGTAGAGCTCACAAAGAAGACAACGGAATAGAAATTACTATAATTAAGGAAAGCTTTAAATTTTTACTTTTTTAGCGACTGAACTCGTCTCCACAGCGGCATCACTTGCAGAATTTCCCGCTCCTACCACTACAACTTTCTTGTCTTCGAATTCATTCGGTGTTTTATAACTGTGAGTGTGAGTGATGCTTCCTCTAAACTTTTCCTGTCCGGGGAAAGTAGGGATATTTGGAAACACGTGATGGCCGGTGCATACCATAACCGCATCGACAGTCTCTTCTCGCTCCTCTTTACTCTTCAAGTTTACTGTTGTGATTGTCCATTTGCCGGTCGAATCGTAATCGTCGGTCGGAACGATTCTCTCCACTCGATGGTGGAACTTGACGTGCGGCGTTAAATCGAATTTCCTCGAACATCATGGAGTTATGCATGTAATTTGGATACTCTTTTGGAGATGGAAAATCACTGATTGCAGTCATTTCTTTGCTGCTGTTGATGATAGTGGATTTTGTAACCGAAGCCAAACCCTCTTCGTCGCCGTCTCTGTATCGCCACAGACCGCCTATATTGTCGCATCTTTCGTAACAAACTACGTCTAAACCTTCTTCTTTACAGCCTTTGATGGCTTCCAAGCCACAGATACCCGCACCTACAACGGCTACACGCATGTTTAATCCCGCGTGATTCTCCTGTAGTTGTTAGTATTAATGGGGGATATACTGATCTTCGACAGGTTTTATGTCGTGTTTTAAGCTTACATTCGGTTTTTTTTATCAGAATATGATAAGGCGAGTACAGAACGTATCACGTGTCTTATCTGGTTGAATTGGGGCTCTGGAAGTTTTAAACCAGAGCAGAAAATGTAAACATCGACGAGTATACATCCCTACCAATGCACTTTTAATATTTATTATCTAGCACAGGAGTCGGCAACCTGTTGAGTCGGAAGAGCCAAAATTACAATTTACAAAATTTCAAAGTTTTTAAAGAGCCACAAAATTTTTTTTTGCCAACAGTAAATAGTACTCGCATAAATAAAGTTTTTTGAATAAAAAAAACTAATCTATTTATTCATAAGGAAAAAATATTTATTTATTCATATATAAGTAGTGTTTTTCACAACAAATTAGATAATAGAAACATCCGACGACGGCGTCATTCGAGAGCTTCCGACGGACTGACAACAGTGACGACGCGTGTCACGGGGGAGGGGTGCGGTGAAAAGCGAGTACAAGTGGCTGACAGATAGAATCAATGCCTAATCCTCGTTAATCGATTCAGAACGATTTTTAAATGTTTTTTTTTGATAAAATAAATAATATTTGCGTATGGAACTAAAGAGCCGCAGCTTCACATCCAAAGAGCCGCAGGTTGCCGACCCCTGATCTAGCAGAAAAGCGGTGATTATCAGAAAAGTTTGGATTGATTAAAGCTAGAATAAATAAAAGAATTCATTACAAATTCTATTTTAAATATCGACAGGGCTGCATATCACAATTTTCTACCGAAACTTTGAGAAATAAATAAATGATAAAACCAGAGCGAGAAATAAAATAGAAAATTTCAAAGAATGTTTTCGACTTTTATCGTCTAGATGGTTCGAGAGTCCCCGTTTATTCAAAAATGTCCGCAGTATTCGAAGTTAAAGTGGTTGTTTTAATTAGTTTCGTTTAAATTACATCAAAACACGCTTCTCAGATCAGTAATAGTCTATAGACTGTTTACGGTAAAGTTTTACTTTTCTGACGAGTTGTATAACATCTTTATGTAACTTATTAAACAGAAAGACTAACCACAGCGGGGAGAAGTGTGGCTACATTGCTGCACTACTACACATCATTGTTCACGTCGTCATTAATTACACTTTTTATGTCTAAGAGTGACTGGTCAGTAGAGTCCGGACACGAATACGAATATTGCGATTCACTACGTAATTTCGGATAAATAAAAAAACTCTGCATAAAATTTACTTAAAGAATTAAGACTCGCTCGGGAAAATTGTTTTTCGTAATATTTAAAATTATTAACACGGAAAAGTGATAAAAATACTGTAGATTTTACGCCCGAAAATCTGTCAATATAATTATAATTAAAAGAAAATTATAATTAAATATAGCTTTGTAAAGAAACGTACGTAAAAATAACACTGAATATTCTTTACTTTTTAAATGGTAAAACAATGCACTTAGTCAAATACTCTCTTTGAGTGGCTAATGGATGGAATCGTTGGTGCGTAACAGCCACCAGCTAAATTGCGTCGGGTTGGTGCTCTGTAAAACCCATGCGCCAATGCGTATAATTTTCTTTACACCATTCAAATATTTTGGCCGTGGAAGCTGTCATCTATTCGACAATACGGCGCTTCCGTTGGGAATACGCGTGTACAGTACGAATTTATATTGGAATATACAACAGAAATCTTATCGTTGTTTTTCACGTGTATAGAAACTTGTAATAAGATACGTAATGCGGTTATAATAAGATACTGTATTAATTTTAAGTCATTGAAAGTGCGTTAAAATATGAAAATAATTGCGCAATATGCATTTATATTTTAGAAAATAGGAGTGAAGCCGCGCTTCCTCAGCTCCCATGGACGGCACGCTACTGGCCAACAACCATCTCTACCGACATCTTCAAACCACGTTGAAGTTGCTGCGATTCGGAATACCTTTCAATGCAGTTGGCCGTCCCGTAGATCGATCTTTCTCATAAAAACAAGATGTCCCTGACAACTGTTTTTCAGAATATATTTTGACATTCCCTGCTGACAAGTGTTTTTGTAGAAATTCAAAATATTTCGTGTAGAATATCTCTTTTGGCAATACCACGCAACAGTGTGGTGCTGAGACTAAATAACGTCATACCAGGTTTGCCGATAGAAACAAAACTCTAAGAACACTACTTTTTGCTACGGCAATCTTTATTAGAGAAGTTGCGGCTGACGATTTCAACGCGAAAACGGGTACGTCGGACGTTCAGCGCCGTTTTCCTAAAAGCCTAAAAGTTGGCAATGTTTGGGACGTCGAGCGTGATTCCACCGACTATCCAAACACCATTGTCAAACTTCTAGGCTTATAGGAAAACGGCGGTGAACGTCCGACGTACGCGTTTTCGCGTTGGAGACGTCAGCCGCAACCTCTCTATTATCCAAGATCTATAAACGCGAGGTCACGATATTACTTACGAATTATTATTTCGGTTCCTTAGTTCCGTAGCCACGGCATAACCATAACTTTCATTCTCTATACAGTACATGCCAGTGGCGTGCCGTGACATTTGATGATAGGGAAGCCGTGTTTCTATAAGAAGCCGACTTCCAGGGGCAATCAGTTAATTCTTTCTTTAAATTGTATTTTTAATAGATTATTTATCCGACGTACTGTACTTTATAATAAATAAACGAGTTCAATATAATTACTTCCGTTATTAGATCCAATATACTCCATACGCCCTCTAAATGCCAATTCTCGCTTCGATAAAGACGTATAACATGTATTTATTTAGATATAATGTATGTATTAACCGTAACTATATCGTTATAACTTTCAATATTTATTTTATATTATTTACTAATTTTAAATTCTATTCCGCTTCGATTTCCAAATCGCTTCAAATGCCAAAGAATCGACTATTTTTCTTGTCTCTTGCCAGCTAAATCGTCAAAGCCATTCTTATTCAACACACTAATTTCATTGGAAAATAGTAGGCGAGCCAACAAGACAATTTTTGCATTTTTATGCATCTACAGAGACATTTTATCGCTAAAATATCGAACAAAGTTTTTTTATCGAAGCGTTTAAATTTAACTTAGGCATTGGCCTTTCTCTTTTAAACTCCCGTCAACTATACAGAAAACTATGGTAAAAACATATGGTCGGGTTAAGTTATAAATCTACTCTAAAACCCGATTCGCTTAATCGGGCCAGGGCGGGCGGCTAACGGCCCGGAACCGGTCCCGGATACAATTGGATGCGGTATACGCGTAGCATTCACCCCAGGTCCTAGGCTTCCACCGGCTAAACCGGGTGAGGTCGGTGCTCCGTAAAGCGCGTGCGCGAATATGGCTGTTTGGATGCCGATCTTATCATTTTTTTCACGCATAGTGTAGAAATTTGTAATAAGATACGTAATGCGGTTATAATAAACTATCGCGCGATTATTTTTGTATAATTAAAATTAACATGTATTTATTTTTTAGAAAATACGAGGGAAGCGGCGCATCCACCGCTTCCAACGTCGGCACGCCACTGCTTTCATATTTCACAAAGGATTAATTAATTTTTCATATTTTTAAAGATACTTTTGTAAAGTGATTAAAGTGTAATATAAAAAGCGTTTTACTTTTCGCATCAATACAAGGAGAAGAGTTTCTTTAATTGTCATCTGACCTAAAACGAGTTTGCAAAGGATATCGAGCTCTCTGCTTGTAACCGAGAATGGTTTCTCTGGCTTTGTCCCAACAGTGTGGCCCTTGCAACCTGTATTGATAAGGAAGACTCGGACCCAGCATCAAAGCCCAAAACAATTTCGGATCCGTAAAAAACATCTTCGAAAAATTCGGCTTCGCTCCGATTAACTCCGCGATCTCGTCCGAGTATCTGATATAATCGATTTGGATTGTGTGACGTTTAGAATCGTAATAACGTGTCTCCAGTTGTCTTTTTCTCTTTTCGACGTCTTTCTTCATTTCTTTCTCGCTAGGAAAAGGTACTTTATTTAAAAGTACCTGCACAAACCATCTGCTTTGTAATTCGTCAATGGAAAAACTTCCACCTATCGCTTGAAACAATCCGATCACACCCAAAGTCGGGTGTTTCAGATGCGTAGGATATACCAGTTTGTATAGTTCCACCCGATTATCGGTGGTGTCTATGATATTTTTGCCGAGGAATGGAAATTTAATGTCGTACCCCGTGGCTAGGATGACGTGATCCACTTCCGTGACGTGCGAATCTCCCTGGAAGACGATGCCCTTCTCTTCGAATCGCTGTACGTCTCCTTTAACTGTAATTCTACCGCTGAGAATACAATTTGCAACGGAATCGTTGATGGTGGGATGCTGCTGAAAGAATCGATGCTCGGGCTTTAACTGGAAAGCTTTGTGATCGAAACACCTATTCAAGTCTGTTTCTATCCACCAAGACGAGACATTTATTGGCGCTAGTCTCAAGCCGATAGAGAAATATCTCGTTATGAAAGATTCGTCGTTGGGTTTACCACCTTTTCCTACTCGATTTATAACCCAACATCCTCTACGAGTGCTCCAATACACCTGCAATGAAAAGTATTGTACAGTACAATTTTTTAATATTGGATTCTCTGAAAGTTACGAGTTAAATGAAAAAAACAAATGTAGTACATACTGTATAAAAGTATAAAATAAGTAGCTCTTAGAGATTCAATAATGGATATTCCGCGTTAGACAGGTTTTTTGGTCTTATAATCAGGGTTGTGGAGTCGGAGTCGGAGTCGTGGAGTTTGGTAGTCCGTAATACGGGAATTTTATGGCTTCAACCCCACCAGTAACCGAGTGGATGAAACCATCGAACAATGACCATGGATTAGCGCCTTGCCACGGGCTGGCTACGTGGAATTTTTCTTGAATTTTTTCACCTTTGTAACACCTAAATAGGGGCCAATTTTCTAACAAAGTCCTACTGGGAGGCCTTCCTCTTGGCAGATCGCTACGTGTCGCGTTGCCGTAACCAAATAAACCAAACCAAACAATGGCTTCGTAACTAATACTCACGTTGCCGCGAGTTTACAGATTTAAATATATAAATTCTAATTAATAAGTAAACGCGTAGATTGGTACAAGCCTCGAACAATACGCGCGTGTATTCTTCCAGTTTCTCAAAGTGGAATCCACGGACTCACAAAGGGTGAACGAACAAGTTTCGCAACATCCTCGAAACGTTCAGGAGGGTGCGTTAGATCTCCTCCGTTAATTCACATTCACACTTACGCACATACTAATTGTTTACGCTCAAATGACAGACTGATCTTTCATTTAGCGTGTTAGGTAAATGCTGATCTATTATGTCCCTGCGCATTATTTAATATATACGCACGATTTTGTGAAAGTAAATTGACGTAACACTAACAAAACTTAATTGTTATATTCAAAAAGGGTCTTACCCGTTTAGCCACGTTGCAAGTTTCGACAGCGGCGTCGGCTCCCGAATTTCCCGTTCCAATCACCGCCACTCTACCGTCACGAAACTCGTCCGGCCGTCTGTACGCCTGCGTGTGTAGAATTCTCCCGCGAAATTTCTCTTGTCCGGGAAATTTCGGGATGTTGGGATACGCGTGATGCCCGTTGCATATCATCACCGCATCCGCCTCGTCCCGTATATTTTCTCCGGTCTTCAGATTCACAGCCGAGACGATCCACCTTCCCGTGGCATCGTAGTCCTCCGACTGTTCCACGTTGACCACTCGATGACGGAATTTTACGTCGGCAACCAAGTCGAAGTGTTCGGCGTACATTTGCAAATATCTAAACATTAAGGTGTTGTGCATGTAATTGGGGAACTCTTTGGGGGGTGGAAAGTCGCTGAACGACGTCAGCTCTTTGCTGGTGTTGATAATGGTCGATTTGGTGACGGATGCCAGACCTTCTTCGTTGGATTCTTTGTACTTCCATAAACCCCCGATGTCGTCGCTCTGTTCGTAGCACACCACCCGTAAGCCTGCCTCTTTGCAGGCTTTGATGGCTGTCAGCCCCACCACACCGCATCCTATAACGGCCACACGCATCTTCATTACGAATAGTTGCGGCTCTGACTTAATTTCCTTTTTATATTACGTACACGCTGAACATTCCCTTATTTTTAAAACTGATTTATTGTGAAAACGTCATTAGATTGCTAAAGCTGCGCGTGACTTCTATTAATAGCAGAGTAAGCGTTTTTCTTTGTTTTAATGATTTTAAATCACGCAATTGACAAATACAAATTTTATTTATGTATATTTTAAATAATTTCCTTTAATAATTTAACTATATATTTATATATTATCTAGATTAAGCATACAAGTATCGACATAGAATATGGAATATACATATATGGCATAAAGTGAAAGCAAATAAAACTCAATTAAACCAGTTAAACTATTGGCTAAGACATGACCGCCGAATGAGAGAGCTTACACAGATGAATATATTACCTGGGACGTGGTGAGAACCTTGTCTTCTTTTAATGTAGACCTTGTATTTTATTCTGGGCCAAATTCTATCATCGGGCGGGAATTATTAGTATCTTGTGACATTGGGCTATTGCGTGGCTAAAGCGTCAGCTGTTATGGTCACTAAAATCAGCCTGGTTCAAGCGTGACTTCTCCTTTTATAGAAAACTATCAGATAGGCCCGGCGTTGCACGGGAAAAAAGTAACGATAGCAAAGATTTACATTATTACATTATAGTCAATCTTACCCGTTTTCAAAGAATGCAAGAATTAGGTCCCCCTGTTTCCGGACTAATTAGAAAATTTTCAGATGGGTTTAAAAAATGTTCGATTTCACGCAAAAATGAAAAAACTGCATCTGCGCCTGTAAATCTTGCACGTCGCTTTCTCTTAACACTTCCATCGTTAAAACTTCCATCGTTGACACTTCCATTCTTAACACTTCAATTGTTGATACTTCCATTGTTACTTAACACTTCCATTGTGGAAACCTTAATCCTGTCTCTCTCCCCGGAGGGGGGGGATTTTCAAAAAATCCCTTCTTAGTGTGCGTTTTCGTGACGTACAGTACCCTAACTGTGTACCAAATTTCAACTTTCAACTCCTAACCGTTTGGGCTCTGCGCTTATTATTATTATTATTATTATCAACTCGTCTCGATTATATATATAGATATGACGAACCATCGGGTCGGCTCCCGATGCGGGCATTTTCTGACTGGCTTTCGAATTAGCAGGAACTTCGACATCCTCCGAATGACAGAAAACGGGAGAGATGTGGAACTAGATAAGATTCTGCCTTTCCCGTTCATAAAATCGATCCGATTTTCTACTAAATTTCGTGTCAAAATTGATAATTCCTTTTAACTTTTAAAATGTTCCCGAGCCTCGGGATCTCGTATCTACGCGCGCGCGCGTTGCTTCGCCTTATTCCATACATCCAGTTATTAACCTAATTTACAATAAAATACAATAAGATTATAAGAAAAGAAAACCAATTTTTGGAACTTCTAAACCGGCGGGTCCCTTTCTTTTACCAAAGAAATAAACCGATCAATCAGCTGGCAATTGCGCTTTCGTCCGAATTGACAAATTATTTCGTGTTTCCGCGAAATTCTTAAAACAAAAAAGTTATTACGAATCTTAATATGAGTTTCTTTTGTTGTAAATAAACCAAATCGTCCGTAAAGAAAAGTAATCAAATTTTATTGACGTATTCGATATTCAAATTTTACGGCAACGAAATGTTTCTTATACTCGAAATTGTTCATTCAAATTTTGTGTTAATTTTATTAAATTATCTTCAAATTCCGGAAAGATTCTTGGTCCAGCATTCCAAACAAATAAACGATTTTGCGCCCCTCTTCTCCTTTCTCAGGCGCTTTAATAGTCCTTTACCGGAAACGTTCTTCTCGCATCGCCCGCATTTAACGATTTTCTTAAGAGTTGATCTTTTCTTTTTTCCGTTATTGATAGTCCTTTGGCATTTCTCTGCGTGATGACGTAATCGCGATAAAAGGATCACTTCTCCGCAGTAGTCACAGACGGCGTAATGGGTCGACGCGATACTCTCGATTTTCTCTATTTTATCTCCTCGCCGTTTAATGCCGAATATCGGAGATCTACAAAGTGGACACCGACGATTCCTCTGTTCCGCGGCTCTATTCATGCAAGATTTGCAGAACTCGTGTCCGCAACTGGTGGATACCGGATGGACGTAAACGTCCAGACAGATGGGACACGTCACTTCGGAAAGGTCTATAAGTTCTCGGTCGGCCATTTTCGTCTCCGGTCTCTAAGAATGAATCGAAGGAGAAGATTGTTTCGCGATAAAATCGGGCGACGATCGTTTATTTCTTCGATTGTTTAGTACTCCAAACGTTTTATAATTTAAATCGGACGTTGTATTAATATTTATTAAATTCGGATCCTTAAAATAAGGCATTTTACGTACTACTTTTATATAATTTTAGTTGAAATTTTCAAAGAAAACGATTAGTTACATAAAATAATGCATATTTGTAAATATAGGTAACGAGTTCGTAATTATTTATTTAAGGTTATAAGAATTTGATACGAACTATAGAGTAATTCTATAATTCCTTATTAGATATGTTCTGATTTTAGAGAGTTAAACAACCCTTTCGTCAATGCCTCTTTCTTAAATTTTAGTTTAATTAAACATAATTAAAGGTAAAAAAATACTTCAAACTGAAAGAAAACGGAACAAGTGCGTTAATTTTTAAGAGGAAACTTGGAAGTTTATTTTCGTTGATCTCGCCCGCCGGCGAAATCTGACACCGCTGTCTCACATTGTTTACAACTGGATGACCTCGATAACAGCCGGTGTCGTCTTTCCCGGAACGTTTACATATCCGCCCCAGGGAACGAAGGGACTAAAGTAGGGTGAATACGAGCCGGCCGTAGGGCCTATATTTGTAAATATTTCGGAAAAATTACTTTTTTTATTGCCATTTCCGTCCCCCGACTTAATTAAACGTATATATGTTACAGTCAAAACCCGTTTTTAGTTAGAACGCGTTTTAACTAGTTGAAACTAGTTTATACTGAATGTCTTTGTTAAAACCTGTTTTGTCTAGTTGAAACTAGTTTATACTGAATGTCTTTGTTAAAACCCGTTTTGTCTAGTTAAAACTAGTTTTAACTCAAATTCATTTTTGACTAGCAGTAAATTCTAGTNTTAATTAAAAAATTAAAAAAACTATTGGATGTCGTTTTTGACATCAGAAAGTTGCTTTAAATAACTTTACCGAAGTAAAATCCGTGTAGAACTTTAGAACGATAAATGTAATTTGATATCAAATTACATCCACTTTATAGGCTATAAATCTGCTTTATAAAATATACCCACGTGGGTTTGGCCAAGCCCACGTGGAACTCAGCCGCGATGGATGGATCACATTCTACGTCACCTTCCGTCGACTAACCTAGCAACTGATAGAATTGTAACAGGAAAAGAAAAAACACATTTAATGTAAGAAAAGTAAAAAAAGCCACCTATCCGGTTATAAGAAACAAGTATATCATAATTACAATCCAGTCGAATGTTACAATTGTATTATAAGATTCTAAGATTATATAATTGCTAGTGTTTTTAAGTATTATTAAAACGAGGCAACTTCCATTCTTTTACGTTGCTTTAAGGTATTTTGCGTAAATTAGGATTAAAATAAACGTTGGAACGTGTACTTTGGACTTTACAGCTCGATTTGACATAGTTAGAGCTGCCCGCATAGCGTAGACATTATAAAGTTACTGCCACACAGAAGAGAGCGAGCGAATATTACGACGTCAGATTACGACGAATGTTATCTTTCTCGTTGTCACGTAATAGAATGAATTTTTCGCATTCTTTCAACAGCGGAGAAAGAAAGCGGACAGACGGAGACGTTTATTCTTTCTATTTCCATTATTTTTCTACTTCCCGTCCTTTCCTGTCTACACAATTAATCGATTTATCTCCGAGGAAACTTCGGTCAATTTATTTTTTCTCATACACAAACAATGGAATGCGACGCGTACGGAAAGGACCCGCTTTGGAATTAGTGTCATTTTTCTAGCCACGCGGCCTAATAAGCACAAAATTATAAGTGAGAATAGCGCGAAGCGTGAAAAGTTTCGTGCGGATCCGCCCGCCGCTTACACCGAATACATTAGTACGCGGTCGGCCAACCTATTTCGTTACGTTTATGTATTATGTTAATATAAGGCGACATTCAGTGTCGACGTCTGTGTTCTAGCGTCACGCATACTTTTTATTTTGGTTAACTTTAGATCTTTCTTTTAGATTTTAGTCCCCTTTCCACTCTAAGAGTACTAAGAAACCAGAGAATTTTTTTAAAAGAGTATATTGTTGGTTAGTACAAGGGGTCCCGAGACCAGCTCATAAATGTGTACAGAAAGGCTCGTATGGAAAAATCTAGTTCATTGTAAGGGCTCGTAAAATCACGTGTATTTTGTTACGTCTTAACTTTTATTTTCCATGTTTGCGATAAAATAACTTACCATATATATATAACATATGTTACCGTGAATGACCGATATCTGGCGAATGTCAACATTCTCCGGTGACTGTCAGCATTCGCACAATCGTTTCGTGTATGTACGAAATATTTGCTAAATATCGTTATTTCCCACTTACACCGGAAAATGTCGACATTCGGCATGCGCCGATGGTAAATGTTGAATAAAAGTATTTTTATTACGTTAAGACAAAAATGCAACTTTTTAACACGTCATAATAGAAGAAAGCTTAAGTAACGGCGCATGTAAATAAACTGTTGAACCTAAAACGAACAGTCTAAATCATTAAAGAAAATAATACAATAATAAACGTACGCATGAATTATGTGATTAACGTTATACAATCTTATGTATTGCGACAACTTAAACTATTATGGCACTTTGAATCGCGCGAGAGTCCCTTGTTTCGCAACTGCTTTTATTCGTAGAACACTTCTTTTTGCAATGACGGCGTGTATAGTCTCGACCTCCACTTTTCGAATTAGCCGCAGCCGCATCCTCTCGGCGATATTTCTCGAGAAGAAATCTCATCTATGGAAAGTACCTTTTCTTTACAAATTACGAACCGATTACGGGTATAAAGCCGCTTGAAAGTACCATTTTCGTTTGCTAATTTATACCTAAAAGTTGGAATCTTTTATTCCAACAACAACCCCCAATACATTTCGGGCATCCGTACGGACACGGTCGACACAGAGACTCGTATTCGTACGGTATCGCCAATTTGAGTGGAAGGAAACGGCGAAGAGTTTGGCGACAGATTATCGCCCCTCTGTCCGCATCGGCTTCTCGGGTGTCGTTTCGACCTCCACCAAAGCTTATCTGCGCTTGTTGACATTCACCGGAGAATATCGACATTTTCTAATTTCGGTCTTTCACAGTAACATATAGGTCTATATTAGAAGAAGAAATAAAGATTGATAAGAATGTTTACAGATTGCAAAAACTAACTTAACTTATTATATTGGATTACTCGATGCCACCGAGGAAAAGAAGGCAGCGGTGGGCATTCCACTGATAACGCTTTCCAGTAATATTGGAATAGTTAATAATTTCGACGGTAATACTTCGACACTTCAGCGACACCGAGTTGTATATCCGCGATGTCTCGTGAGTAAATCTAAATTATATAATCCAGCAACGAGTTGCTTAACTTTCTCGGCAACGTTCGGTGGGCCATCTGTTATGACAGTTTTATAAAAAAACATTTTATATTTTTAGCCACTCTTTTTTAATCATACTTTTTAACCACTCTTTGCCACTTTGTATTAAAAACTGACAAAGAGCTTACTTTTGACGGCAGGAATAGGTTTTATAAGAAATGTAAATGCTAACAACGAGTAAAATCGTCATTAACTCCGACCCTACTGGTGATACGCACGACCCCCTTTATCTCCCCACCCCTCGACTTTTAATCATCAAAATTTAATAGCGTCGATCCCCCTAAAAACCTCCCTGCAAAATTTTAGAAAATTTAGACATAAAACACGGGAGTTATTCGGCTTCAAAGAAGGCGAACAAAATCGTGGTCCCCTCACAAGCAGTAACATCTATACATACAAAAAACTCCCATACTTCTTTATTAATTTTTTTTCTTTTTGTATTTCTCGACATTTCGAGGTCTATCGAGTCCAAACGTGTAAAAATTTCGAAGGGCTATTTTTTTTACCGTGGTCAAACTTTCCCTCTATTACATATAGGTCTAACTTAACAGCCGGGAGATAGAATCAAACTTTGTCTACTTTAAAAGTTATAATAAGCGCGATCAAATCCTTTGTTATAAATAATACATTGTATACAAAAATTGAAGCTAACAATAATAAGCGCTTTTAATCTAAAACAATCATATTTAGTTAATTTTTTGTCGATTATAAGGACAATGGATTGAAAATGTCGTCTGGACGAGCCTTAAAATTAGGGATGCCGAATGCGTCACTGTACCGGTAGTAACAAACCGCAGCTAAATTTTTTAAACGGTATAATTAGCTTTTGGAGTTTGCACCCTTTACATAATTACAGTTGAAAATGTACGAGAAATTCAATCTGAAGCGTCAAGTACAATTTACAAGTATCAAACGAATAAGTAGAAAAAATCTACTCGTTGCAAAGTTCTTCCCGCACGTGCCGATGCGTATATACATCGGGCAATTTTAAATATCACTCGATGTATATACGCATTGGCACGCGTTACGCAACTTTTCCTCTTTGTAATTCAAACTCGTCTAATATAAAATTAATTTATTGTCATTCGAGATCTCTATTGATGACATTGTGGAAGGACACGCGTATACACCAACGGGTTCTTAATGCGAAATGCATCGAATATCAAAGTTATTTTGATAAACTCTTTTATGATTTTTAGACCAACTTCCGCAACATTGCGTAATCCGTCGAGAAAAAGCAATTCGTAACTCGAACGAATCGAACAGTTATTATTATTACGGCTTTATATCGAGGGCGGACGTCTTCTGTGACGAAATTTAAGTCTTAAATCTATTACTTTCGACTCGTAGCGCCTAGCCGACGGCGCTTTGTCCTTTTTTAACACCGGAGAAGACGTACGCGGAAGGGAGTCGGCGGTTACGGGTGTTGTATGGTAACACCGATAGCCTTTAACCTCGTCTGTCACCGCTAAACATTTTTATACTCGAAACAACAGTTGGAAGTTTTCGCTTTATTATTATATTTTGATTTGTGTTATTTCGTATTTTCTCTCATAAAATATTATTAAACTAAATGTGATTTGATATACAGTATTATTGTTATTCAGCCTGGTGTCGGAATACGAGACAATCGAAGACGTATTACTGCAAAAGACGTAAATATATGGAGGAAATCGAACGACACCCGCCACAAAT